AGGAGAGGGCTGGTGCACCTAAGAGGAGCTGGTCAGGGGGGAGGCGGTGCTGGAGGGACCGTGAAAGGCTGGGTAAGATTCAGGACATAAGGATGTGAAGAAAGAGGCGGGGGTGGCGTCCAGGAAGGGAATAAAAACAGCATAAAACACGACAGTGTTGAAACTGAGTCTGCGCGTCTGGAAGCCATTGCATCACCAGTCATCAGGCCTGCGGCATTGGCCAAGATCAGCTAAGACGGCAGCTGGTGGCGTGGAAGGTGCCATGCGAGGAATAGGGCCTCAGGCTTGAAATCACAGGGATCTCCCGGGGGCCTTGCAATGCGCCCCCGGCTCCAGCTGCGGGGAGCGGCTCTAAGCCACGGCCACGGCTACACGGAGGCCACGCCGGCCAGCGCTGCGAGGGACGGTGCCGCCACAGCTGGGACTCTCCCGACATGAGGGCTCCCCGCAGCCCTGCCCGACGCCTCACCCCTGTCTGAGACGCCTCCACAGACCCTCCCGCCCTCTCTCCCTCCTGAACGTCTTGCATATTTAGTCCAGTCTCAGCACCCGCTTCTCCGAGGCCCTGGCTCACTCAGACGTCGGAGGCTCTTCGCACAGCGGGTATCAGTGGGCGTATGGGAGGACACCTCGGGAAGACGGGGTAGGGGGGGAGGGAGACACACTGAGAAATGTCTGTGCTTTAGAGCTAATTGGAAGCTGCAGGCGGTGTAAGCCAAAGACAGAAAGACACAGCCGAGAGACAGAAATAGCAGCGAATGCGGAGAACTTACTATGTCCCTGAATTATCTCGCTCAGCGCGAGCTCCAGCCCTACTCCTGTACAAGTGTGCCCATTTCACAGATGGAGAAACTGAGGCCTCCAGAGGTACAATAATTTACACAAAGCCCTAGAGCTGGTAAAGTGGTGGAACTTAAATGCAACTAGTCTGATTTCAGAGTCTGCACTCTCCTCCTCTGCCTCCACAGTTTTTTCACTACATTGTTAAGTTGTAGGTGTTACTGTATTTAACTAAAATTATGTTTCTAATCTAATTACCATCAGTAAGTATTAATTAGTACCGTATATATATTCCAAGAAAGTGAGTTTAGAGGATTAACCCTATGTATGTTGTTTTATGATAAAAACGTGGATTTATAAATTAACAGGGAATGAATATGGAATAATAGCACTATTTCCTAAAATTAAATGCTAACGTAAATGGTGCACCGTCACACTCCCTTTCCCCTCTAATTGGTGGCTCTTCGGTTTGAATGAACTGAAACCCCCCCATCTGGAAATGTGAGTCCTCGGGCCCACCTCCCAGCGCAGCCCTCGCTTCCTCCCACGGTGGTCCGACGCTAATAATTCGGCATCCTGTGCACCCTGAGTGTTTCACACGTAACGTTTCACAGCTGTCTCTAACACATCACTTTATTTATGAAAGATAAGCAGGCTGGCTGGAAAGACACCAAACGAGCCAGGCTTTTAAGCGGACACATACTGCCTACAAGGACCGATTTCCTCACTGCTCACCTCTCCCTCCACGGACACTCCATGGAAGAGGGTCTGGACTGCAAAGTGTGGGCCAGTGAGGGCGAGAGGGCCGTGTTCTATCAATAAGCAATTTTAGAAAGAGAACGAAGACTCTGATGGTGACGATGAGTACCAGGTTAGTCCTATTTCAAAATGCAGGAGCTATTAAACACCATTCCAATCAGCGTTTTTGCAAAACTCAGCCTCATATCCAATTTTTATTTTTTAAAAAATCACTAAGATGTCTTTAAATGCATCCTTAGAATAGCAGTGAAGTTTAAAATGTTCAGCGGAAATAAGGCATTCGTATTAAATAATTTTTATTACTGTAAAATCAGTTAATGAATCAGTTAAAATGATCCATGCAAATTAGTCTCCTTTAAGGTAATCATACCCAACTAGCTATCTTTATAAGGAAATATATTTATACTAAGACTGTTTTGAAATGGTTAAAAACATAAATGAAAAGATACCTCTATTTTGCTTACAGAAAGGGAATATGGTATTCACCAGGAACTAATCAAATATATAGTAAGAAAGTAAATATACTATATAGCAGTGGTTCTCAACCTTCCTAATGCCGCGACCCTTTAATACAGTTCCTCATGTTGTGGTGACCCCCAACCATAAAATTATTTTCGTGGCTACTTCATAACTGTAATGTTGCTACTGTTATGAATCGTCATGTAAATATCTGATATACAGGATGTATTTTCATTGTTACAAATTGAACATAATTAAAGCATAGTGATTAATCACAAAAAAATATGTAATTATATATGTGTTTTCCGATGGTCTTAGGGGACCCCTGTGAAAGGGTCATTGGACCCCCAAAGGGGTGTGACCCACAGGTTGAGAACCGCTGCTGTATAGTAAGACTTCGCTTTAAAAAAAAAGCATATTCACCAGTAGGGGTCACTATTACACCAAGTCACTGGGCTAGGAATTCAGCTCTCACTGCCAGGAATTAGAGGACCTGGCTGAATTAATAACAACACTCAAAATGCAAATGAAAATAATTACACATACATGCTGCTGCACAGATATTCAAAGGTAAATGTAGGTACTTCATAATTTTACACATTTAATATTCCCTGTCACACCAATTTCCTAATCCCATCACATATGTGAAGTCTTCAATATACATGTTTATATTTGTACCTATATAAATTCATTATTTATGCAAGCCAAAAAGTAAACCAGTCCAATAATTATGTGTCTTATCTGGAAGCTTTCTAAAATGTTCTTTATAAAAAAGCAAGAAAAATGTCACAGCATCCTAAAATCAAAGTGACCTAGATGAGTGCCCGTCCTAAGAATGAGGAACTCCGCCGCTGAACGAGGCAGTCGGGCCTGAAGCCCACATGTGGAGGCAGAGATGTTGTTAAGATAATGTCCTATTTCCACGATCAAACGATATAATATCAATAATTTCTGGGAAAATGATTGGAAGGAAATGAAAAACAGGTCCCGTGATAAGCAGCATTTGCCAGGCCTTCCGGTCACTGGAGGCTGGCGGACCACACTCCGCAGGAAGGCTCACGCAAGCCAGCGCCAGCAGCTCGCACGGAGGGCACGGGGCGGTGGGAGCACACAGACAAAACGGGCCAGGACCACCACACCCTCCAGCACATCAACACTTTGCTGTTTCCGAGCAACAATTTAAAGGCGAATAAGAATTTAAACATAAAAAAAAAAACATGTAAAACCAGTGAGCTCCAATGGACACCTGCCCTGTCTCCAGCCCCACGGTCGGCTCACAACTGACTCGGCTGCAGGCTCCCTTCTGCATTAAATCCCCTGCTGACTCCAAATCAGAACAGATTCGCAGAAAACTTGGTCTAGAAACTGTCAAATGTCCAGGGGTCTCCGATAGGCAGTGAAAACTCTAATTGAAATAGAGCCCTGAGGGGCCTCCACGACCCAGCTCACAGGACACACGGTGCCCACGCCTGTGCTCATCGGGACCGTTCACTCTGTGAAAGACTTCTTAGCCGGAGTAAACAACACAACACAAACCCTGGGACTTTATAACATCCAACAGCAAAGTATTTTCACAAACCAAATTATTTGCGGGGAACATAAAAGTCAAGAGCATCTGTGTCTGAAATTAACTGGGTCACGGAACAACGCTGTAGCCTGTTTCGCAGGCTGGGGAATGCAGGCGGAGTTCTTTTACCTTGTCACAGTGTCGGATGATCGCTCCAGCTCCTCACACTCCATGTGGAATACGCTGGAAAAGGAATCCTGGGAACAGAGTGACAAGGCCGGAGTAAGTGTGACGAGGCTGTACCAGGCGACCGTGCAGACACGCGCCTGAGGAATGACCGCGCTGGTGTTTGTTACGTGTGTCTACTTACTCTCCGAGGGAGCTGGACCGAGCGCGCACTTCACCACATCATGCTATTAAAGCCATGTTCCTATGGCTTCTGATCGCCACTGCCTACAATGCTTTTTTGAGCAGTCTTTTTTTTCTAGCAGGTGTTAATAAATGTTAGCTTCAAAATTTCTCTCTATTTCTTCAAAACCCTCCAGTTCTGCTTTCATGCAGACATCCATTGCTGCTGCTAGATCCCAGGGGAGGAATGGCTTTTTAGAAAGACATCCCTTGCAGTCATATTCTGTGGGAGCCAAACAATTGGGCAGGTTTGAGCAACAGAGAGAAACGCTTTTGAAGTTACACTGAAAAGCAGGTACATATTTGCAGCCGAGCTGTACTCGCGCCTGAAGAATCGGAAGGAGGCAGGACTAAAACACTGACGTTAGCGTGACGTGGGGACAGGAGAGAGGAGCACGTTTGTTTTTTTTTCTTGCTCACATTTTGATTTTGGCTCACGCTGTTGAAATACTTTTAATCGGTAACTAACTGCAACATAAATCAAGTCACTTAATTCCCTACCTAAACCCAACAACCGAAGTTGTTAAAAGTTAGCTAAGTGCATCAGCGGGCCTGCGGCTGGGCTGTATTCAAAGCACCAGTGAGCCGAGGCAGACGCTGCCATGACAGGGTTAACGGGGAAGCTGGAGCCGAATGCTAATGACATTTCCGGTGTCTGAAAAAGGGGGGGCCTCGGATATAACTTTCCAACAGTAAGTCGCAGGGGAAACGTGCTAAGTTGACAGACTGCATTAGTGAGTGCTGACCTCAACTTTAAAGGGTGGCTACTCTCTTATAATCATCTCGACATTACAGGTTTTATAACTGATTAAGCATATGAAGTAGTATCTACGAATAACACACACACACACACACACACACACACACACACACTCTGATTCGGATAATGTTGGGTCCTTCAGTGCAATCTTACTACCTAAAACAATGTAAAGACTTTAAATATAAGTATTAAGTATATTTTATTCTGCTTCCTCCCAAAAACATGAACTCAGATATCACACATGGTGGTCGCTGACTGATACAAGTGGCGACCCCACTCTCTTTCCCACTAACCCCCCAATAAGGAGCCTATCACCAGAGTCTAAAGAGATAAGAGGAGGAACAAGGACACCCAATAGAAGTCTCCTGGCAGCAGTGGTTCACAGGCTGAGAAGGGAAATAAATTGCAGAAAGGAAAACTGCCTTCAGCCAGGGGCCCCGATTCTAACAGCAAGCGTGGCTGGCCCATCGAGAGGTAACCAGCCCCCTACGAGAACCACCTCTCACACACATCTCTTTCTTGCTTTTTCTTTTTTTAATCCTCACCCGAGGATATTTTCCCATTGATTTTTTAGGCAGAGTGGAAGAGAGAGGAAAAGACAGAAAGAAACATCAATGTGAGAGAAACACATCGATTGGCTGCCTCCTGCATGAGCCCTGACCAGGGCCCGGGCCAGGGAGAAGCCTGCAAGCAAGGTGCACGCCCTTGACCAGAATCAAACCCGGGACCCTTCAGTCCGCAGGCCGACACTCTATCCACTGAGCCAAATAGGCCAGGGCCAATCCCTTTCTGTACGTTACAAATCGGTGGATTGAAATTTACCACTCAGAACTGTTTGGTGGCTTCCCATTGCTGGTAAAGGATTGGGGACCCACAGGCAGCTTTAATAACGGAGGCTCTACTGGGCCATCCCTTTGTTTTCTAAAGTATTTCCGGCAAAAGATAACATGCCCCTCGCGGGTTTGGCTCAGTAGATAGAGCGTCGGCCTGTGGGCTGAAGGGTCCCGGGTTCGATTCCTGTCAAGGGCACATGCCCGGATTGCGGGCTCAATCCCCAGTAGGGGGTGTGCAAGAGGGAGCCGATCCATGATTCTCTCTCATCATTGATGTTTCTATTTCTCTCTCCCTCTCCCTTCCTCTCTGAAATCAATAAAAATATATTTTAAAAGATAAAAAATAAATAAGATGAGAAACGTATTTAAAAAAGAAAAGAAAAGAAAATGTGCTACCCAACCCGTTCAGAATGGGGGTCTCCCTGCTCCTAGCAGCCTTGGCACTGCTCTTCCAACCATGAGAAGTCAGCACTAACGACAATGCGTTTCCCCCTCGAGGCCATGGAGCCGCTGACCACAGCAGCACAGGACACGCCCATGGTGACCGCTTTGAGGAGGGACACTGAGGCACCCTCCCCCCACCCCTACCTGTCTTCAACCAGGACAGGTCTACTGTCATCAGCTTTGCATGACCAACCACACAGGGCTTAGGAGAGGGTTCGAGGCTAACATGGGGTTTACAAGCAGTGGCCCAAGGAATCTCCGTTTCTGTCTTTCTAACAAGAAAAAAGCCATACTCTGTACTCACGGAGCAGTCTCCATCCACGATGAAGATGGTGCACTTCTGCACCTGCATGAAGGAGATAATCGTGGCAGCGATCTTCTTCAGAATGACCTCCAAGGATTGCTGCTCTTCAAAAATCAGGCTGGCCAGGTCAAGCAGCACCTGACAAAAAGACACCACAAGCTTCAAATTTAGTAACTAGAGGCCCGGTGCACGAATTCGTGCACCAATGGGGTCCCTCGGCCTAGCTTGCAGGATTGGGCTGAAACCGGCTCTCTGACATCCCCTAAGGGGTCCTGGAGTGCGAGAGGGTGCAGGCCAAGCCAACAGACCCCACTGGTGCATGATTGGAGCCGGGGAGGGATACGGGAGGTTGGACAGCTGAGGAGGGACTGTGGGAGGGCTCCAGGGCATATCTGACCCCTCTCGCTCAGCCCCAATCGGCCAGACCCCAGCAGCAAGCTAACCTACAGGTCAGTGCGTCTGTCCCCCAGTGGCCAGTGCACGTCATAGCAAGCACTTGAGTGACCTTAGCATATCATTAGCATATTATGCTTTGATTGGTTGAATGGACAACAGGACGACCAGACACTTAGCATATTAGGCTTTTATTATATAGGATTGCTAGTGACCACTAAAGCAATATAATGATATATATGAGCTATACATTGTTTATGTATATTTAATCTAACATGTTACAAGCAAGTTTGCATTCTGCTTACTAACAATTGTTATCACAGTTAGTACAGTGGTCTTATCATAGACTCTGAATCCAGCCAGAGTCATTAGATTTTAATTCCGACTTCCCTTCTGCCAGCTTTGTGATTTAGGGAAAATTTCTTGAAAATGGGGATAACAGTAGTACCAAAATCATAGGAAT